TCTACAAAAAAGCATTTGATACAGTTGATCACACTATACTGCACATGAAGAAGTTATTTTACTTCTTCTTCATGGAAGTATCTGCCATATGTAATGACATTCTTACATGCTTCAAGTCTTATCTCTGATAGCAGCTGGTTGATGTGGCTGGTACTCCTTCTACTCCTGCTCTGAGTACCTATGGTGTCCCCCTGATGTTCGTTTTAGGTCCTCTTTTATGTCTAGTATATGTCAATGACATGTCTGCAACCTTAGCAATAAGCTTTTATTATATGCACAGGCACGGAGTTATGCTCCGGACAAGCTTTACCGGACGCCGACAACGACGCCGACACAGACGCCGCCGCCGCCGACACCGCCGACAAAAGTAACCCCTATATGTCACTTTTTCAAGGCGACACAATAATTGATTATTTAAAAGAGATTAACTTGTATTCTAGGATCTAATTGGCTCATTTCTATTGTCATTTACAATGTTTTACATAATATTTTAAGCCTATTATAGCATTCGGCACGATATGGCCAGTTATGTGTTGACGTGCCGTTAAAATCCAAACAAACAAACCATTTTAACAGTCAATATCTTGAAAAATATAGTCAGTTTAGATCAACTTGAATATGAAAATATGAGCATAATGTGACTTTAAACAGTGATTTTTTGTCTTTAACAAAAAGGCCAAATATAGATTGTTTCTCACTTTAAACTGTTAAAAATAACCAACAATAATGTAATCTCATAATTTCCCAAAACCCCACTCCCTCCCCAAACAACCGAGAAATTAAACATGACATTTCATGACAAAAATTTGAATTATCATTTAAAAAAAGTCTCTTAAAAATGTTTGTTTGTTTGTTTCATTTTACGCCTTTTTCAACAGTTTTTTCAGTTCAAAAACATACACTCATACAAGTAGCTTATATACTAGTTTAGCCTGTAAATGCTTGAGGAAATCCTTATTGATCCTTTATTTCAGTCTGAATATGTATCCGAATTTTTCGGACATGTGTATTTCCAATTGTTTGTTTATTTCCATGCGTAAATCCTTTAATATTGCGCTGAAGCATTATTGCACTATATGAGCACAGTCTTGTGTTTCTTTAGCATCATGTAACTTGATTTAAATCCATGTATTTATCTCGAAATGTTAGAAATTGTTGTAAACACATTTCACTAGTTTTACATAGACGCCATGTTACTCGCAGTGCATTGTGGTATTGTTGTTGGTTACCAAGCGTAAATCTACTATGTACAAGAGGAAAATCGATAATTTAAACCTGTCTCAGGTACATGATACTGTTATATAGTCTTTACTTTAAACCAGTAGCGTAGACTACTTTATTTAGTTCCATTTATTTAGTTCCGCCCATTGTTTTCTCGTTTAGGGCACACGCTTTTTATTACTTGGGGACCATACGCCGCTTTTCATGGAATGGCACGGAAGTGTCACATTGAAGGTTCCATGATATCCGCCGTACGAACACATCTGCGGATGTTTCTAAATTCAAAATTTTACTATTTCACGTTTAAATGTTGAATTCTGCTTAAGCCGGTGCTAGGGGGCGTGGACGGTAACTTGTACTTTCCAGTATCGTCCATGAACAGGCTCAATCAAACCGAGCCTGCAACATTTTCAATTTTGCCGTGTTGGGCTTTCTTTAGGGATTCTGTATTTATCTATTTTACCGAAATGGCCATTATTTCTTGTAAATCAGTCTCTTAAATTCTCTAAGACTGCAACCAATTTTACGGGTGATCAACCATTTCTTTGGGTGCACTTTGGTTGCAAGCAGACTATTTTTGGGTGCATTAACCTGCAACCATTTTCTGGGGTGATCAGTCAGTTTTTGGGGTGCATTTATGTTGCGGTTGCAGATTTAGTATAAATAGGCTGGGATTGCCGCATTTCGGGGAGTCATAAGTCAGAATTTCTAACGTAAAGCTACGCTCGGTTAAATTTTCGTTAGCCTTAATAAAATTAATTTTACACCAAATGTAAGCGGGCTATTTTATCTAGATAAACATTTTTATTCACTTCAGAGTTTTGATAAGCTGTTACATTTTTAAACTAATATTTACACATATTCTGTAATTGTCAGTGATAAACATTTCTGCTATTTTATCACGGTTCACTGGTGCGCCATTTTGTTCGCGCGTATTTTTAACTGTGAAAAGTCGTTTATGCTTATGTTATCAACATTAGAAAGTTGCCAATTAGGAAAGCGTTGAGAATTATTTAAGTCTTAAGGCAACAATTATTAGGAATTGTTAACACAAGTTTTTAAGTGATATTTCTGATTAAAAGCAATTAGTGTATTAATAATAAGTACATTTAATTAAAGAGTGAATTTCTCTTGTGTGAATTATCAATTGAGGTTCTCTTGTGCGAATTGCATGATTACATTATTAATTGACTTTCTCTTGTGTGAATTGTATGATTACATTATCAATCTGTGAAGAACATTAGGATTGATATTAATACGTTAGAAATATTTCATGATTTACTATTGATTTATAATTGTTAAGCTAAGGCTTTATTAAAAGTTATAAACTTTACAACGACTTTCTCCTTTGTGATGTATGACTATTAATATTTTAAATAATAGGTATAGTTTAATTTAACCCAATATATTTTTAATAAGATAAATTTTATTATGCAAGTTTATTAATTAGTATTGTAATTATACCTATGCATTGTTATGTTAATGTCATTTCAACTTTATGTACATTGTATTGTATGTGTAATATGTAATTATTTTTATATTTTCCTTAAGTTAATATGGTCATGTTTAGTATTAAAATGATCATATGTTTTTATAGATTTTTGTTAAAAACATTAATTACAGTAAATTGCAAGTTTACTTCAATAAGGAGCATTTTTCTTAAAAATTGTTTTTAAACATATAAAAATTTCCCATATTATAAAAACAACTCTAAGTAAAATTTTTTAATACAATGTGGCATTTTAAGTCTTCCTGCTTAATAGTGGCACTGATTAGTTACAATTACTCTAAAAGGCTTAAGTCCAAGCCAATTTGTTTATTATACAAACAAGGAAGCCAGGGTGATAACTTTTCACAAACACAAATAATAAAAAGGTGATTTGTTGTTAACTTATGTTTGCATAGTTAATGGAAATGGCTTCCTGTTATTTTTCACAGCTTTCGGCACTTTTCTGTATAAAAACTCCGTGGATTTTTCTATGGATATCATTCACCATCCATCGTTTTAAAAATAAAGTTGTGTTTAAATTTATATTGGATTTTGGAATTTTATATTAATTTTCAGGTAAATTTATTTCTATGTTCTTTTATTATCATTTTTTTTAAAACTTTATATTGTACAAGATATTGCACTCTTTGTAATTATGATATTTCATTTATTATTCTTAGTTTTATTGTATATAACATTGTAATGTGTGTATAAGTTAGTACTTATAGTACAAAGTAGCATTATGCTGATAAAACTTGTGTAGCTATAATAAGAAATATTCTATCTACTTTCCTTGATATTTCTTAAGTATAAAAAAAGAATGTAACAAAATATAAAATATAAGAATAGAGAATTTAAATCTAACATGCATTATATATATATATCAATTATTGTAACTAAATCTGTTATATTACATCAGGCTAAATTTTTGTTACAAGAATTATTTTATACTATTTTCTTAAAATCTAAAATCTTAATTTTTATCTGCAAACAATGTGTTTTGATTCAATTAATTATTTTGTTCTTTGTGCATATTAAATACATTTTAAATAAATTAATCTTGGTCGATGACTTAACCCGGTACTTAATTAAAATATAGAAATTAGCTGAATTATCTTGTTTAATTGACCAAGATTAATTTATTTAAAATGTATTTAATATGCACAAAGAACAAAATAATTAATTGAATCAAAACACATTGTTTGCAGATAAAAATTAAGATTTTAGATTTTAAGAAAATAGTATAAAATAATTCTTGTAACAAAAATTTAGCCTGATGTAATATAACAGATTTAGTTACAATAATTGATATATATATAATGCATGTTAGATTTAAATTCTCTATTCTTATATTTTATATTTTGTTACATTCTTTTTTTATACTTAAGAAATATCAAGGAAAGTAGATAGAATATTTCTTATTATAGCTACACAAGTTTTATCAGCATAATGCTACTTTGTACTATAAGTACTAACTTATACACACATTACAATGTTATATACAATAAAACTAAGAATAATAAATGAAATATCATAATTACAAAGAGTGCAATATCTTGTACAATATAAAGTTTTAAAAAAAATGATAATAAAAGAACATAGAAATAAATTTACCTGAAAATTAATATAAAATTCCAAAATCCAATATAAATTTAAACACAACTTTATTTTTAAAACGATGGATGTTGAATGATATCCATAGAAAAATCCACGGAGTTTTTATACAGAAAAGTGCCGAAAGCTGTGAAAAATAACAGGAAGCCATTTCCATTAACTATGCAAACATAAGTTAACAACAAATCACCTTTTTATTATTTGTGTTTGTGAAAAGTTATCACCCTGGCTTCCTTGTTTGTATAATAAACAAATTGGCTTGGACTTAAGCCTTTTAGAGTAATTGTAACTAATCAGTGCCACTATTAAGCAGGAAGACTTAAAATGCCACATTGTATTAAAAAATTTTACTTAGAGTTGTTTTTATAATATGGGAAATTTTTAGATGTTTAAAAACAATTTTTAAGAAAAATGCTCCTTATTGAAGTAAACTTGCAATTTACTGTAATTAATGTTTTTAACAAAAATCTATAAAAACATATGATCATTTTAATACTAAACATGACCATATTAACTTAAGGAAAATATAAAAATAATTACATATTACACATACAATACAATGTACATAAAGTTGAAATGACATTAACATAACAATGCATAGGTATAATTACAATACTAATTAATAAACTTGCATAATAAAATTTATCTTATAAGGAAAGCAGCTAGGAAACCTTTATTGCACAAGATGATGACTCGCAGCAGAGCACGTGAGGAGAAACAGGATATAGAGGGTTAAATTGTCTTGATTGGGAGTGCCTTTACTTTTATTCTCTGATAAATCCATATGGTACTTATCTATAAATTATTTTCCCTTGTTTCGGAACAGGTCCCCAAATCAAAATTTTTTTTTCATGTAGCTAAGCCAACTTTTACAAATTTAATTATTTGTGTCTATAGTGCTATAGGATGGCTGACCACCATTCAACCCGGCTAACCTGCATGCATTTTTTTTTTCTCTTTTAGAACCACCCTTAAGAGAACTAAAAGTTGGGGGCATGCTCATTTGGATCCTGACCTTCTTTTTCTGTTTCACCCAGCCGGCAACGTGCAGTAAGTCCATATCAAGGTTAAACTATGGAGTCGTTTTTAAGAACATTGCTGATTTACATCTTGCAAATGAACATTGGGTTCACACTTTTGAATTGCCAATTCCGGAAAAACTAACACTCCCTGTTATAGGGAATTGTCATAGAGACAATGAAACGTGTATAATGGTGAGCCATGTGTTGGCTCAAATAAACACGATCAGGGCCGAAACATCCTTTCGAATGGATGATACAATTGATGCGATTAAACGCCTTATGCCAGAATATCAAGGAAAAATGTCACGTAGGCGGAGGAGCCTCCTGCCATTTATTGGACAATTGTCTAAGTCTTTGTTCGGAACTGCTACTGAAGAACAGGTTAATATGCTTGCCCGTCACATAAATGCTCTTACTCGGAAAACTATGAAAATACTGGACACATTGGAACAACATGGGGATCACTTAAGTTCATTTATGCAAACAGCAAATGCTAGGATGGATAATTTAATGGACGGGATAAAAACTAACAAAATTGAAATTGGTTATGTTCACAACCTACTAATATCCTCTACTAAAAATTTACAATATAATTTTAACAAAATGATGGAAACTCTAACTCTTCAACTAAATCAATCTAGCCACTTGAACCACATTCTAGATGAATATAAAAATGGAATTGTTAGCTTAGCTGAAGGGAAATTATCGCCTATTATCATACCAGTCAGAATAATGGAGAAAACGATGTCATATATTCAAAATCTTTTAAATACCAAATATCAAGGTTTTTATATTACTTACAAAACAGTTCAACAGGTATATTCACAGGCAAAATTTGTTTGTGGCAGACACAAGAATAGCATCTTTATTTCTGTAAAATTCCCCTTAACTGTGCAAAAGGAACCAATCAAGCTCTTTAAAGTAATAAGTCTCCCTGTTCCCATCAATTCTTCTTCAACTCATGGTACACAGGCTTTAGATCTTCCTTATTTTTTCGCAATAACTTCAAGCAAGCAACATTATATGACATTAAACCAAAATGATTTAATGGATTGTCATGGAACAAAATATATTCATTGCTCTGAAAATAAGCCTTTGATTCCATTAACCTCCCAAAGTTGTGTGCTAGCTTTATTTAGTAATAACATGGATTCTGTTCATTCCATTTGCAACTTCAGATTTGTCCAAAATATCATTGAGCCAAAGGTTATTGAATTGGATCAAAACTCAATTTTATTGTATAGAACACCTCTTTTGTCAGTTGAGTGCAAACATCAACATAAAATGATGCAAGGTTGTGACTTTTGCATTATCAATTTGCCTTGTCAATGTTCTGTTATGACATCAAACTTTTATTTACCACCAAGATTGGTAGCCTGTCAAAATTTCACACATGAAATTTCTAAAGTGCATCATATAAACCTTATTTTAATACAAAAATTCTTTGATAAGCCATTCTATAAAAACATGTTTGCAGACTCAGCTTTTGCTCAACCTGTTAATGTGTCTCTGCCAAAATTTAAACTATTTGAACATAAAATGCATTCAATTATAGCTAATGATGAAAAGGCTCACTTGAACCTGTCTCGAATGGTGAGTCTAGCCAAACAAGATTCAGCTGCTTTCCAATCTTTAACAGAGCCACTCATTGAGGGACTTATAAACATTCAATCAAACTGGCCAGATCTTAACTCTATTTTCATTTTTTCAACTCTGGGTGTTACAGTAGGCTTAGTTATTTTTGCCATTTGGTCTTGTTTAAAAATAAGAAAACTTACAATGGCAGTTGCAATTCTTAATAATATTAAGACTGTGAGAGCATCTACCTCACCTATTCCATCATTTATATACAAAGTATCAACTGAAACATCTTGAAGATAGTTCATTTCCAAATATTAATATTGACTTGACCTGGGAACATGTTATCTTATTTGTTTGTCTGTTACACTTTCTTTTTTTGTA